CTTTCTTTCTTTCTTTCTTTCTTTCTTTCTTTCTTTCTTTCTTTCTTTCTTTCTTTCTAAGTCATATTTCTTGTTGAAAAGTTAATTGTAAGTTAGTTTTGTCTTATTTCAAGTGAACTCAGATATTTCCATTAGAAACTAGACCAAAATTACTTGGTAAGAGTTTGTGTTTTTGCAGTGTGATTAAAATCTCAATCTGAGGCCAGAATAATGAAACCTTTAACTGAGGTCTCTGTATTTCCTCAGCAGGTGTTTTCTTTATATTTTTGTTCCTATTTCTCCCACCCTCATTTAAATGGCGGACAGGACAAGGTCAGCCTGCTCCAGTTGGACAGAAACACGACACTCCATGCATAAACACACTGCGCTCATTTTACTCACCTACCAGAGGAGCTTGTGGGAAAAGTGACATCATCAGCCGGTCCAAACAATGAGGCCGCAAGCTGCATCTGTAATTACGCCAACAAGTAGCAAATGTTTAGGATTTATAAACCAGCTACAAAACAAAATCAGTGTAATTTAAATTGGAGGTACAGATTGCTGTAGAAAACTGGGCAAGACATAATCAGGCCAATTACTTAACCCTGGAAGATCCAGACAGAAAAACATAAACAAAAATAAAAAGGTTCAACTGTTTACATGGTTCTGTAAGAATGCTGGACATTAAAATATATTTTCAGCTTTATTTTGTAAGGTTTTATGAAAATTCCTTAATGTTTAATGTAATAGAAAATATATTGTGTTTTGTATATTTGCACAAGTTTTTCATCATGTATGAATTTTAGACAGTGCAATGATTACCCAGAACAATTTGAAGATATTTTGCTCTCACTTTTCATTAATAATCTGGTTCAATAAACCACAGAAATCTTGTTAAGCCAAACCTTTTCCAAGTAGAAAAAGGTCACAAACAACTTTCTGAGATTGAACAATATTGTTCAATTTCTAAGCTTGTGTGAAAAAAATCACTTTTTTATTGTTTGAAATAGAGACATTGTAACATGACAACACTGCATCTTAGAGTGGAGGCTTCAAAAATATGATCTCCAAACCATTACATTACCAATTTCTCTCACAATTTGTCCATTTTTAAAATGCCCCTTTGGATAATGCTTTGTATCAATGTGTTTTTTCCTCGCAGTTGTTAAAAGATTCGGTTGTCTTTTGTTTTTGTTTGTTTTTCAGTGATCTGAACGAGAACAACCTGACGGTCATAACCAAGACAGATTTCTCTGGACTTAAACACCTCAGAGTTCTGTGAGTACCACTGACTTTTCTCCTATTGGATCAATATTGGTAGATAAAACATCTGACAGAATGTTCGATAATTTCACCGAACTCCGATCCAGAACCGCAAAGCATTCTGGGAGATTTAGGCAGAGGAAGGACCTTCAACCTCTCACAACTAGCTAAGCAAAGTTGGTGGAATCAACTCACTCTTTGGTTACCTAGCAACTCACTCTTTGGTTACCTAGCAACTCACTCTTTGGTTACCTAGCAACTCACTCTTTGGTTACCTAGCAACAGCCTGTTGGGTAACTGGCGCAGCAGAGGTTTCAGTTTTTGCCACCATGCATCATAACTGCTTAAAAATAAAAAAAATAATTTGTGGAGTGAAAACTGTGGCTAAACAAGAAATGTCGTGCAGTACTTCAGATATTTAAAACAAAAAACCAAATCAATATCTATATTGATTGATATTAAACGCTTTGGTACATTTTTCAGCCGTATCGTCCAGCCCAACTATAGAACAATAAAAGCTGCTGTTAAGACTCTCAATAAATATGCCCTAACTTTAAGCAGTCCTCTGGATTTAAGCTCAGTGTGGACAGAGTGACTGAAAATATCTGAGAAATTCTTTCCCACATGTTTTCAGTAGCATCAGGTCACGTAGGGATGTGAGGGAACACACATTTCTTAACCCTCGAAAGCCGGAGGGCATGGAAAAATGTCCAGGCTCTGTGGCGACACATGAGCCAACTGGAGGTGCTTGTTTAGTGTCACTGTCAGCCAGATTTAAAACACAGAGAACAAGCTTATCCATTACCTTTCAGCTTGAAAACATTGTGGCCTGTGGGAAAAACTAGTGTTTCCTGTGCTAACCTGGGGATCAGAGCTCTGTCAAATGTTAGTGATGGACGTGGAGTTAACAGCAGGACAAACGGCGTCTCCTGTTTGGAAAAGATTAACAAGCTTTTGGAGTCCTGGGACTTGTAACTCTTAGAAGGGTGTAGCGTGTTTCACCAGCGGTGAGCAGAACAGAGACCATTAAAACCATTTCTCAATAACATACATCCTATCGATGACTTCCCTAAAAAAGCATGAAAAAACACGCTTTATTGTTTAAGCTATAAATAAAGTTTTACTTCTGATTATTGATGTATCTGAATATTACTTACACTTCAGCAAATTGAAAATGGCAGAAAAAAAGAATAATCCAGCCATTTTCTTTCTCTTGTCCACATCTGGTCCTGAGGTCAAAGGGGGCGCTTTATGCTAAATTCACATGTTCTTACTTCCATTCAGGTCTCTAAAAACAGCCCAACTGCTTAAAAGACACTCTGCTGGTTTTTAGCAATAAATTATTGACATCTGGAAAATGAAAAAAAAAAAAAAAACCTCAGGGATGTAATGTCACATTCGCTGTACAATGGCTGCTGGAAAAGGCAAATATTTTGTTGTTGTCTTACGATTCAGAAACCACTTGCTGCATTGTTGTTGGTTGTGCAGGAGGCTCTACTTCTGCTTTTCAATGATGTATGGTTGTATAATTGCGCATCTGTTTTCAGCCATTTTTACGGGCGTGAGTGTAAAGGTTGAGCTGGGGGGATCATGGCCAGCACCTGCTTATTTGGATCTAAAATGACAAGATGCCCTGAAATGATGCTGTGAAGACAATGACACCATATAATACAGAGTGGCATATTTCTTTATTTTGGTGCAACATATTCAGAAGATTTAAACCTTCCAGGATTAGTTAGTTGTATTTTCTTATTCATGTTTTCCTCTTTCAGTCACCTGATGGAGAACAAGATCAGCAGCATTGAAAGAGGAGCCTTTGATGAGCTGAAGGAGCTGGAAAGACTGTGAGGACATTTTAAAAACAATCTGATTCCTAAGTCCTCTTGAAGACAGTAATTCCTGTTGAACTCATTGTAACATTAATGTCCTACTTATTTCAGTTTTATGTGTCTTTGTTCCTTCAGGCGTCTTAACAGAAATCGTCTCAGCCAGCTTCCAGAGCTGCTCTTTCAGAAGAACGAAGCTCTGTCTCGACTGTGAGTACAGACTCCTGTCTTTATGCAACACTTATTGGAAACAAACACCGTAACAATTTATACAAAATAAGAAATGACAACACTAATTATTGATCAATTATATAGGAATGACCAAACAAAATAAATACCTTAAGTTCTTTCTCGACCATTTCTGGACAAATGAAGAATGTGCAAATAGTTTAAAATGTTTTAAAGCTCTGCTCCGAAGAAAATGCTTGATAGCATAAAGTTACGATCAGAGGTGGGTAGAGTAGCCAAAAACTGTACTCAAGTAAGAGTAGCACTACTTCAACATATTTTACTCAAGTAAAAATAAAAAAAAAAATAAAAAGTAGCCATCCAGAAAATTACTCATGTAAGAGTAAAAAGTATTTGATAAAAAGTCTACTCAAGTACTGAGCAACTGATCAAATTAAATTATTTAATATTTAAAAATTACATCATTAAACTTATGTGGAAATGTTGATATTTTAAGGATAAAAATGACAATAATTCACATAAGTAATAAAAATAAAATTAGACAAAATAATTTTTTTCCAAATCATTTTCTTTCAATAAAAACTTATGAAATGTGAATGTTTGGCTAAAACATGTTTGTTTTTCATTCAGTGGGTAGAGAATCCAGAAATGTTACTCAAGTAAGAGTAGAAACACTTCATAATAAAATAATTCAAGTAAAAGTAAAAAGTATAGTGTAGTAAAAATACAACTGAAAGTCATTTTTTTCAGAAACGTCACTCAAATAAATGTAATTGAGTAAAAGTAACTAGTTACTACCAAACTGCTGAGGACACCTCTGGCTTAGACCTTCTTTAAATGTTGTAGTTTTCCCACCATCCAGCAGAGGGCGCCGCTGATCATTTTTAAACATAGCCGTTGAAACAAAGATGGTGCTAGTTTAGTGCCAGAGAGAGAAATGGCTCATGATCTGTTACCAACGACAAGAGAGAAATCCTCCAAGTACTAAAATCTGACGACTCCATTTTTGTTTACATTTGATGAAGAAGGAAGTCGCGCTCTGTGTCTTCTTCAGAGGTTTTCCTGTAATTTTCTTCAGTGTTTCTTGATGGAGCGCCACCACAGGCGAGGAGGGGAACAGGTTTTTAAAGGGTTTTATTTGTTTGACATATTTCAGTGTGAAAGCGAAATGCAGCAGCTGAAGATGTAACAAATGTTGCAGTTTTGGTCCCAAATTGAATCGAGTATCAGGTGTGAAAACAGCCTAAAGCACATCAGACATTATTTCACCTCAGTGCGTGATGCGGAGGTCAGTCTGAGGTCAGTTTGAGGTCAGTTTGAGGTCAGTTTGAGGTCAGTGAGGACGGCTTCTCCCAAAACACAACTAAAGATTCATTTCATGTTTCACCCAATCCTAGACTGACCTGCACTGTAAAACAACTGAGCCGCATTTAGTTGTGTCTACTATCTTCTACTCTTTAAGTCAAATAAATTTAAAGTTTTAGAATTTGAACCTAAATGTGAGTTTGTGAAAGATAAACTTACAGCAGTAAATTGTGTTAACTTTTTATTAATTTGGTCAAACCTCCAGGAGTTGAATAAACCAGAGTTTTCAGGTTAAAAAACTAAAAGGAGAAAAAGACAGGAGTGGGAACTATTTCCCAGAATGCTTAGCGGCATGTTTCTGTATCCTGAGATGGAAGTGCGTCACATTGATCCGACTCTGGTGTTTTATTAAGGAAAATGTTTATTTTAAAGCTTGAGGATAAAGTCCTGTTCACACTAAATGTTTCTGAGCTGAATTCATTGGGATGTTTAATAAAATTCATCATCAGATCAGAAATTTAGTTCAAACAAGAATTTAAATTATTCTAAAGTAAAATAAGTAGATATTTTATCTTGATATTGAGAGTAAAATGGTAGAGAAATGTGGCTCTTTAACCAGGTGAGGACAGTTTTTTTCTTACATTTTCTGAAATAATTATTTGGTTTAAATTGCAGCATTAAGTTAAAACTCACAATTCAAGATTAATGAACTAAAATAATGTTTAGACAACTTGTCTCCTGTTGTTAAATCAAACTCATGATTTAACAACAATTAAATCATGAAGTTTGAGTCAAAACCAAAACAATTTTCTTGTCGATTTAAATTTCATTTTCATGGCAGCAGGTGGACTTTCATATCTCACTCTTCGGTTTCTAATATCATAATTATATTAACTGAAATATCCAAGATGTTGCTGTAGATGCATTTCATTTGGTGAGTGAAACTCCTTCTTGCTCTTCCCTGGGATCCAGCAGAGAAATAAATAGCACAGATCTCAGCAGTTATAGAAATGATGGACATGATAGGTGAGAAGTAACAGAAAAAGTGTGACTGTCTCGCTCTGTGGAAGGGATTGCGCGTTTGTCCCGATTTTCTTTTTTCTTCACCGTTTTTGTTTTGACAGTTTCACTTTGTGGCTTCCAGCAGCGGCAGCAGAAATGGAGCTGGCGCGTTCGATCAGTCAGCACGCGCTCGCTCGCGTAAAGCGACATGCTCACAGTTTAGAGCCATTAGCACTACCTCCAGCAGAAGTGATTTCTTTTCCTCCCGCTGTGTTGATGGACTCTATAAAAGCTGATGTCCCTGGGAAACACACAAACACACTCAAACGTGTGTATGCGCGTGTGTGTGCTACTTTATGTTTGAGCTCTTTAGAAAAACGCCTTCTGTCTTCTTTATACAGATATTTTAGTTTCTGCTTCTTTCTTGTGTAACTAACTTGTGTTTTAACTCTAGCGTAATTCAAATCGATACCCCTGGTCCACGAGTCAAACTCAAGGCCCGGGGGCCAAATCCGGCCCGCCTTAGCTTCTTATAAGGCCCTATAAACTCTCGAGGTGCATGTAATAAGAACCTTCAAAAAGCCAGATATTTTTATTATTCAAATCAAAGTGGATTTATCCATACTGCCAAGTTAAATCAGCAGATTCAACACTTTTGAATGTATTCACCATCTCCACCCAACTGGCACGAACCTTGCAAAGAATCAAGCGCACCCATCCCTTTCGCTGCTCAAACTCAGCAGCCAAATCTGTAAGGCACAGGTGTCAAACTCCAGTCCTGGAGGGCCGCTGCCCTGCAACGTTTAGACGAGCTTCTGCTGCACCACACCTGAATATAATAATTAGGTCATTAAGGCTCTGGAGAACTGATCTACACAAGAAGGAGGTAATTACACCATTTAATTCCAATGTTTTGTACCTGTGGCACATCTAAAACTGCAGGACAGCGGCCCTGGAGGACTGGAGTTTGACACCCCTGATCTAAAGAAAAGAAAAGATGAATAAAAGATGTCACTGAGATGAGTTGTTCCTGTGTCTCTTTGGAGGAAGAAAAGCTTTTTCAAGTTTGGGCAAAAGCTGATTTGGCTGAAGAGACCAAAAAACTCGACACATTGCCAAATTACATCACTTTGAAAAGATGTTCCATATTATTTATTTCAATTTTCATCTGAGTCTCTACTGCTTTTAACAGCAGACCAAGCGCTTAAAAATCATCCAGGAAACCTTTTATCAACTACTTAAACTCCTTGAAAACAATTACACAGGACTAAATATAAGCATCATGTTTTTTAAAAATATTTTTTCTGCTTTGTTTGTTTTTTCTTGTCTTATTTCTGTTTGGGATAGGGATTGGTCGTAAGCTGATGTTTCACTCTAATGACTTGAATTGGGTAAATATCACTTGTATCAGTTAAACTACATGTCAAAATTAATAAATAAAAATGAAACAAAGCAAAAAAAACAACATTTGGCAATAAGTACATTTTGTTTTGGTGTCTGGAAAATGAGCCGTTTCAAAATAATTCAAAATGTAATGACAAATCAGAATGAACTGCCCTTCACCTAGCAACCCCAGTCCATTACCTAGCAACCCCAGCCCGTTACCTAGCAACCTCAGCCCATTACCTAGCAACCTAAGCAGAGCTCGGTTTGGTCAGCTGGTTTTACGCGCTCTACAATGGCTGCTGGAAAAGACAAGTGATTTGTTGTTGACTTAACCATTTAGAAACCGCTTGTCGCAGTCTTATTGGTTGTGCAGGAGGCTCTACTTGTGCTTTTCAAAGACGTGAAGTTAGATAATGGCACATTTGTCTGCAGCCATTGTGTTTGGGGCGTGGCCAGCAGCAGATTATTTGGATTTAAAGAAGACAACGTCCTAAACAGCTCATTCTGAAAGAACTGGGAAGTCTAAACTCTCATTACCAAAGAATGACTTTTGTGCAAAATATGAAATGAAAATGTTTTGTGTAGCTCGTAGGCATATCCTAACCTGTTCAAGTAAGCGTAACAGGTCACCTGTAATCATGGAAAAAATAAAACATCACATCCTTCCATCCCAGTACTGATGCAACGTCCAAAGTGGGAGCACTGGCACTTCAACGACGACATGAAGGGCTTAATGATCCACCAGCATCACCTTATTTCTTCAACCTTAAATCCACAACACAAATGGGCTTCAACTTGTTTTTATTAGGTGTTTCTTTCTTGAATTTAAAAGATTTGAGCTCTGGATCCTTAAATGTAGTTTACACCCCGCCCTGCTAGAGAGCTGGTGGTCCAGAAACACCGACTCTCCTTGCCTGGTGCCAGAGGTGCTGGTTGAACAACAGAAAATTGGCTCCGATTTAAGCACCAGCTTTGCACGAGCTCAGAAACAACATTCTGGGAAAAGGGCTTCATTAAAATACTGGAGCCATCTGTTAGCTCTAAACTTTATAAGGACTAAATCTATTTACAATGTAGTGAAAGGTGTAAAGAAACAAAATTACTGTCTATGGCTTAGTGGGTCAGGTCAGTTTTAGCTGCAGAAAGGAAACGTATACTTTGAATTGTTGGTATCACATGTGCTATTAAGTTGTAGCCCAGAAGTAATTATTTAATTGTGAATAGTGCAGAAACATTCGGATGCAGGAATTAAAACGAAGTGAAGAAACACGAACGCTTTAAACGTTCAGGGAGCTTTGTGCAGTGGATTTCATTTAGAGGTTTTCATC